AAACCTGCTTCTGAGGAATGTGCTACAATATCTAAGGTTAAAGTGGAATAGAATCAGTTGGGATTTGGCCAAACATCATCCCAGAGCATTGCACAACGGGCCAAGATTTCCACAGCATCTTTGGCTCAACCTGCAATGGCAATTACTGATGTCTGCATACAAGAACAGCAAGATACATTGTGATTGATTGATAAAGGAATACAAATCTAAGCATCATCACCAAATAACAGATTGTCTTTCCCAGAGTTTGGGGGAGGGGAACAAATAAAACCTTGTGAAACTCCAGAAGGAAAACCCTGTTGAACAAATCTCACCTTCCTATTACAACCTCTTAGAATTGCCTTTTGGGAAGAAGTGAAGCTATTGTTAAATAACTAACTATTCATCTGTGAAAGGCAATGGATCCATGATTTCTTTCCAATTCATTGAGAGATAATTTGTTTCTCTAAGTCTCAGTAAAGCCCAGAAATCTAGTTTGTAGTCATTGGGTAATGAATGCATTAGTATAACATAGAGTAAGAAGGGGCTAAAAGAACAAAATAACACTTCTACTCAAGAATGAGCCATGCAGTTCTGATCTGCATCAATTAAGAAGCTAGTTGCATTAACTTCAAAAGGAAGACTTTACCACAAGAGGGCACTGATGCCTATTAAATATGTTTTGTCATACTACCAGGATTTTCTTTCAAGAAAATCTTACTTGCACACTTTTGCACACATAAATGCATGCATTTTCTATCATTTCTTGCTTTATCATACATTATTTCTTCTGATGATGATGAAGAATCATGTCTCATTCTCAGAGATTAATTGTATACTTCTCTGCAGTTTCCTTGCAAGGTTTTTCACTAGTGATTTGTCATTGCCTTCTTTCTAGGGCTGAGAGAAAACGACAAGAGAAAAGTCACCTAGTTGGCTTTTATCTAAGGCAGGACTAGAACTCACAGAATCTCAATTTCTACCCTAATGCTTTAACCACTACAGCAAACTGACTGTCAATTTTTTGTTTACATTACTCTAAAGTGTAAACAACATCATGCAAAACATAAGAAAAGGGGAATAATAAATAGTAATAAATAAGGTTATTAAATTATACCAACCCCATAGTCTAACCTTGCAAACCATTCTTGCTTTAATCACTACATCATATATTGCTCTTGCTTTTTAATTCTGTTTCTGAGGATCTTACCAACTCCATCCAACGTTTTTTCTTGGTCATTCCTTATTGTCCACCCATTTACTATTTCTCTATGTAATTGTTTTGCAACTGGTTCCACATTCATTCTCTCTTTATGACCATACTGCTTCAACATAATTCTTTTATGCAGTCTGTTCACTTTTGAATTCAGTCTTCCTGTTCATTTTTTATCAGTTCTTGCTTTAGCACACATTCTTTTTAAGTTAACCCATTTCCACTGCATTCATGGTACAATTTTAATATATCATGATGATTCCTTCTTTATAGCAAAATGGGCAAAAGCATGCTCTTATATGTGATTATTTTAATTTCTATTGATAAATATGCATTTTGTTCTACAGGCCACATTGTATCATTCCCCAACTTTAGTAGTAAACAGTCTATCAAAGTACACAAATTCAAGTCCTTGTCTTAATTTTTCCCATGTGCAATCATTCACTCTTGTTGCTAGACGTAACTATTTTAGCCTTTAATGTGTTCTATTTCAGATATGCATATATTTCTTATTACATTGTACAATGTATATAACAAGAAATTTGGTGGCACAGTGGTTAGAACGCAGTATTGCAGGCTAATTCTGCTGACTGTTGGCTACCTTTAGTTCAGCAGTTTGACTCTCACCAGCTCATGGTTGACTCAGCCTTCCCTTTTTCCAAGGTCAGTAAAATGAGAACCCAGATTGTTGCAGGCAATATGCAGACTTTGTAAACTGCTTAGAGAGGGTTATAAAACACTGTGAAGCGGTATATTGTGTTTCTCAGAAAATAAGATCTAGTCTTATTTTTTGTTTGGCTCCAAAAGATGCATTAGGCTTTATTTTGGGGGGAAAACAGTATCAGGGTGATCAGCCCAGCCGGGGACCTCACACCTCAGATGCAAATACAAGAGGTGGTGAGCAGCAGGGGCTGACAGTGCCTGGCAGCAGCTGCAGCCCTTCGGCCCCTTGGCTGGTGCACTCTGGGATCCCCCCAAACAGCAGGCAGAGGCAGAAGTGTGGGAGGAGGGTGGTATGTGATGTAGTCCACTGGACATTCCATGTAGCACCTTCCCCATTGCAGCAGTGGGTAAGCAAAGACAAACAGTGGAATGGAATGGGCTGGCGGTCATGGGAGGCTTGTCCTGCATGTTCAGCAGAGCTGGAGGATGACTTTGGACAGCAGAGGCCAAGCATGCAGAAGCCGTGGCTTGGAGTTATTCCCACCCCACTACCTGCCTTACCTTGGGGCACCAGCAGCAAGCAGAGATAGACGCATGGAGGGAGGCACGTGATCTAGCCCACCAGATGCGGTGCATGGCTTCTCATCCCATCACAGTTATAGGCAAGTAAGGAGGAAAGGCACTGTCAGGCATGACCACTCAGAGCTGGGTTTTCCTGCTCATATGTTGAATTGCAAGCACAGCCATGGGAAACATTACAGAGGTGACTTCATTTTACAGGCTGCCCCTCCCCCATTTCTCTCCCCCTTCCTCTGTATCTCTCTTTAGGAACGTAATCTCTGCCCTTCAATACAGGCAACAGGCTGATGTACAGGATATCCCTGCTTCTCCTCGGAGCAGTTCTGTTTCATTGTTAAAAATGCAAAGCCACCTGCTCCCTCCTCTTGCGCATGTCCACAGCCACCAGTCAGCTCAACCCCATCCAGCTGCTCTGTACACGCAGAATGAGTCTCCTCTAGCTGCCTGCCCACTCTGTTCCACCATCTGTCTTTGCTTGCCACAGTCACAACTGGGTAGATGGCTGTGCGGCACATCCAGCAGGCTGGATCATCTGCCTGGCTCTCCTTCTTCCTCTGCCTGCTCCTTGGAGGACTAGCCCAGTGGTCGCACCTGCACTGTGTGGGCTGTGGCTCTTGCCACCTCCTGTGCTGCTGACCTCCTCCCATGGCTGCCAATCTTAACCGAGGTATTAGTTAAATAGTATTAGCATTATAAATATTAGTATCAACTTTTACTGGTATCAAGTTGATCCTTGAGAGTCAACACTGACCACAAAACAGAATCATCAGAAGAGAAACCCTTGTTTTAGTGATTATCCAATCTCTTTTATATAATGTTCCATTCATAAATACATTAGAAATGAATATAATATAATGAATTTCCAAAAAATTGTAATAAATATGAGATATTTGATACAGAGTAATTAAACCATACACTTTTCTAAGTATCTTATCTCATTAGGTTCATACATTGTATTGGGAGTTCAGATCCAACCATCCTAACTCATCAGCATCTAATGATCTACAAGAGGGCTATAAGGTAGATAGAAACTTAACTATTTCCGAGTGGAAATCCGGTGGTGGTGTGTGGTTGAGCGGCACGAGGGAACAGTGCTCTGTTCTTCATTGCCAATCTTCAGCGTTGCAGGGGGCAACAGTGGTGAAATCATGCCCGGGGGGATTGGTGATGGAGAGGGGAACCTTCGGAGCTGAAGAGGGAAGGTGCAATCCCCAGCAGTGTGATTGGACGAGCCCTCGAAACCAGTGTCAGACTTTGGTGGCCAACCCAGATGACACATGAGATAGAAAAGGGAAGCAAAGAGAGAGTACGGTGTGAAGAAGCGGTGTGAGCAGTGAGACCGAAAGAGAGTGGAACTGTCAAAATGAACCCAGAAAGAGATGGTGAGAGGAAAGGCTCAAAGCAGCACCTGAACACTGAATACAATGAGGAGAGTGGATAAGGCAGAGGATGAAAGGGTGCTAGTAATAGTGAAAGACTGAATAAAGAAGATTAAGTTATAGACTATGTACGAACTAAGAGAAGAGGGGAAGTGAAAGTGGATAGTTTGAAACAGGAAGATTGAAACTTTTGTGTTCCTAAAAGAACAACATTATTGTAACAGAAGAAGAAACATAGTAGCAGTTAAACATGGGGAGGAAAAAAAAGTGACTCTGACAGTGCAGAAAATTGAAAGTCGGACATTTTGAAGAAGAGAGTGAAAGTTAACTCTTTAAATACACTGCATCTAACGTTACAGTAAGACTTAAGTGAACTGGTTGGAACACATAGAATAACCTTTGCAGAGAACTAAAGGAAAATTGTGATTATAAGAAATATTGCTTGTATATTTAAAAGTACTGTGACTAAGCTACATTTCTATTTGCTTCTCCTCTTTCCTTTTCTCTCCTTCTTTTTTCTCTTTTTCCTTAGTGATTATATTAGAAGTTATAATATTTAAATATTCGAATATATATTGAATGATTTATATGGCAAATAGAGTGTAAAGGAGAATATATTTAGAGAAAAGCTACTGTTTAAGTGCTATATACTATAATATAAGTTAAAGAACCTAAGATAGATATTTCCTAAGAAACTTACTGACTGAACTATCCTAGGAATTGTACTGTTTTCTGATTTTAGTAAATCCTTATTACTATCAAATGTATTGTAAAATAAGTATAGTGACTTTATAAATTTAAATTGACTATTAGTGATAAGAATCTATTTAAATAAGTTTAATTGTTAAGTAATCAATTGTTTAAACATTTTAATATTAAATGTATTAAAGTAATATAAAGTATTAAGGTAAAAACAAATAGAAATATATAAGAATACTAAGAAGTAATATAGTGGCAAGGAATTAGTATAAATAGCTTTGGATATTGGGATTGATTTGTAAAACTGTATAGATTAATTAATTTGTGAAAGTTCTTGATTCAATCAAGAGTTAATATAAGATATTGAGGAGTAGATTACAGGGAAGAATAAGAACTGTGATAGAATCTAGAGAAATAGTGAGCATTGAATGGTGTTGTGGGATAAGATAGAAAGAATATTAAGACAACAAACTAAATTAATTCAAGAAATGACAAGCATTACAACAACAGTAGTGAAGACAGGGAAGAAACCCACTCCAACAACAGCTGTAGGGATTCCATCTCCATCTACACAAAGATCCATTGAAGGAATGCTTACAATGAAGAAAACAACAGCTACAATGAACACACAGGCCATGCAAGCCACCCTGTTAACAATACAGGAGATGATGATGAAATTACAGGAAAACATGACTAAGAACCATGGAGAAATGAAAATAGAGATGGAAGATGTGAAAAGAGAAGTGAGAAAGGATATTCAGAAGTTGGATGAGAAAGTTGGCCAGATTCAAAAAGTTTTACAAAAGAACAAACAAAGACTCCAAACAATTGAAAAAAGAATGGAAAAAACAGAATGGAAATTAGAGTCAGTAGATCAAAGAATGCAAGAAAGAAACAAACAAGTAGAGAACTCACTGATCCAGTTGGAGATTGAGAGAGCCTCGTTCTACCTATGTTTTCAGAATGTGGTAGAGACAAAGGAGGAAGATCTAACAGAAATAATGGCAGAGACTATTGCAGAGGCATTCTAAAGAGAGAAGAGTGAGATAATCAATGAATGAGACGAAGTCTACCGAGTCTATATAAATTACGCCAGAAGATTTACCAAAAGAGGTTCATGTCTGTTTTGCTTGGAAAAAGGTGAGGGATATAATTTACAAGATTACTAGAGAGGAACCTATGACATATAAAGGTAAAGAGATGATAATGTCAAAACAAATTCTGAAAAGAGTTCGAGAACAAAGGAAAGAATATCATTTTCTGGCTGCCCGACTCAACAAAAACAATATACTGTTTAGGTGGATTACACCAGAGAGAATGTTGGTGTCATGGCAAGGGAAGAAAGTTAAGTTTGACACATTGGAGAAAGTGAAAGAATTCCATGCACAACTAATAGGCACAGAAGAACTTGGCCATAGCAGAGAAGAACTGGAATCGGCTAGTCAAGATGATCAACAACTGGAAAAGAATGGAAGAGAGCAGGAAGAGGAGGAAAGGAAAGAGGAAGAAAGACCACAAGAAGAAAACAGAGTAAGAACAAGAGTACACACAGAAGCAAGGAATAACAGGAACTAATTGGTAAAGGCAAAGAGAGAAAATGGATAATAATTTGAAGATATTATCAGTAAATATAAATAGACTTAACTCCCCATTGAAAGGGAATCAAACTCTGAAGAAATTGGCGAAACAAAAAATGGATATAGTATGTCTCCTGGAAGTACATGTTAGAGCCCAAGATAAGAGTTTTTTTACAATATAAAAAATTAGGAAAATTATATGCAGCACTAGTGGAGAAAAAAAAAGAGGAGTAGCAGTATATGTTAGAGAAGGAGTAGAAGCACTATACACAGATTCAGTGGGGAGAACATTTATATTAGAAGTAGTATGGGAACAGAAGAAAATTCTATTAGTTGTAATATATGCTCCCAACAAACAAAAAGAAATGTATTACAAAAAATACATGAAAAATTTTTTTAATTAGGCAAAGAAGAAATTATTACCAATAAAAAAAATCACACCATCTTAGTTGATTAGAAACATATATGTTTTATATGTTTATCTATTATGTATTTATATAGAGAGATTTTGTCTGCAATGTAAAGTTGTATTCTATGTATTGTACATAGTGTCCTTTTTAATCTTTAATAAAGTTTTCTTTTTAAATTCAAAAAAAGAAAAGAAAAAAAGAAACTTAATGATTTCCTCTGTATTCTTTCTTTGTTACTTTGCCTTCTCTTTATCTAACAGATTGCTAATCTGAGGATGTTTCTTATGACTTGTTCCTAAACACTCGGGCTTTCTCCTTGTAGCTGCAACATTTTGCCTGTGCATGTGATCTAATTCATTAAATAAATCTCCTTTTTGTTATAATTATGCAATCTTATTCACTAATTCTTGTTCAAGTTAAATTCTAGGAATCCTCATATGCACACATGAAATGCTTCAGTCTCTAACACACTGGGTTAAATCAAAACATGCTTTGATTTGGCTTGCTATGTGAATCCACCCTGATGCTCAGACCAGTTCTATAAAAGCAGAAAATAATTTAAGAGTGTTACTGAAAACCAGGGGTGGGCTGCTGGGGGTTCACAGGGGTTTGGGAGAGCCCCTAGCTAAGATTCTCTGCAGTTCGGAGAACCCCCAAATCCCACTCCTAGCTGGCCTGTTTTCACCCTCCTGGAGGCTCAAGGAAAGTCTTTGGAGCCTAGGGAGGGCAACCCACCCCCACCCCCGCTGTGGTGCAGGAGCCTGACTAGGCCATGCCCAACCTGGCCATACCCAGCCAGCAACTGGGCAGAGAACTCTTTGCTAAAAATTTTGAAGCCCACCCCTGCTGGAAACCATGGAGCAGCATACCTATCTCTCCAAAACTATTCCACCAGAAGTATTCTGAATTTTCAACTGCCACAATCAGTTAAAAATACATTCGGAAGACATCAGATTATGGAAGAGTGACATAGAGATATAGTAAAAAGAGTTATTGAATTAACATTTTATTACCCTGAACAGATATTCAAGGCTAACTTTGCTCAGCTATTCAGGGCATATGGTGAATAAACAAAGCTTTTCTATATTACAGTGCATGTAGTGAAGAAAAAGTGGAGGTGTTTTGCACACACTTCTAAAATCTATTCAACAAATTGGAATGAGCTGTCAGTTTGTTTAAAAGTATAAGTGGCATTTATTGTATTTGTTGCTTTTTTAGTGTAAGTTAGCAATGGGGAAGCTGATATAGATTGGGAACCTTTAGCCTCATATTTAAAATAGCATACCATATTTTTCGGACTATAAGACACTCTGAAATATAAGACACACCTAGCTTTGGGGGAGGAAAACAAGAAAAAAAAATCTGCCTCTGCCCCCCAGCAACTTGCCTCCTTGCAGCAAACAATAAACAGCCTGGTCAGCTTCAGCACAACCTGATTTAGCATGAGCAGCTGATTGTTGGTTGGATCTGCCTCCCAGAATACCGACGATCAACTGTTTCAGGTTGCAGGGATTGCCATTGCCTATCACCGTTTCCGCACACCCCATTTTCAGCCTGTTCCAGGTGATGGGGATTGGAACAGGCTGAAAATGGGGTGTGCAGAGGCAGCGATAGGCGATGGTGATCCATATAGAGATTAGCACAGTAATGCAGGAAACAGAAACTTAATATATAGATCATTCCTTCCTCCCACCAAAATGCCAGCATCCTTGTAGATATATGTGGGACCTGACATCAGTTCTACCATAAATGTGCATTATTATAGGACATAGAAACAAACCATAACACAAGTACAGAAAATTGGAAATGCCTATTGTTTGGTGCTCCTTAGTCGGTCTTGATTCCTGCCTTGACTCCAAACTTTTCTTGACAGTATTTTCAGAAATGAGTTGTTCTTGCCTGCTCCCCAAGACTGAGGAAGAAGCTCTAAGTCACCCAGCTGGTTTCATGGCTAAATTAAGGGCCTAGCCCTGTGCCTTAACCACTACCAAACTGGCTCTTTTGAGGACTTGATATGAATGTATAAAATTAAAGATTTATTTCAGCCCAGCACTAATCCCAAGTCTTAGATCATCTTCCTTATGTTTTGTTTCTTGTTGCTAAGCAATCTGCCCCAACCTTGAATTTGCAGATGGAGACACAGAAGCAGTACCTCCAACACTTCTTTTTTTAAAATAAACTTTATTGAATTTTATTACATTAAAAACATAAAAAAATAACAGCTGTTTGTGCTGCTTATTGTGTAACAATCATTTGTGCAATATTGACAAATATTAATTTGTGCATAATTATATTCTTATTTTTTCTATATTCTATATTTAATAATGACTTATCCTTAATCTGTCACCGATCTATTCTGCTATACCATTGTTCCCATACTTTATAAAATATTGAAGATTCCGTATCTTTTAAACTCAGCGTTAATTTATCCATTTCAGCACAATTCATAACTTTTTGTATAACCAGTTTCTCTATACAGGTGTATATGGCTGTTTCCAACACTGGCCTAAGGCAATCCTGGCAGCAGTCAGCATTTGTAATAATAAGTATTTTGTACTCTTTACATGTTGTTGTGTTTTTGAAGATCCCCAATAGGAAAAGTTCTGGTTCTAGGCCTAGTTGTTCATTGGTGATTTCCTGTAGCCAATTTTGAATTTTGAGCCAGTATTTTCGAGCCTCTGGGCAAGACCACCACATGATAATATGTTCTGTTATGTCTTTGGGACTGGTTGGTGTTCCCAACCAGGTCCGTTCTTTGAGCGGGAGCACCAGCAGCTCCCATTGGTTGGCTCCGTTTGACAGTCGGCTATAAAAGCCGGCTGTCGGGCTGAGCCAGTTGTTGTTCGCTGGCAAGTCTGCTTGTTAGCTAGCAGACGCGACAACCCTTTATTCTTTGAATAAAGCCTGTTACTTGTATGCTCTGGTCTAAGCCTCTCATTTCGCTCGATTCACAACACTGGCGACGAAGGTGGGATTGGCAGGCTAGCCAGAAGCACTCATTCAAAGAGCTGAGAATCACGCTACCAGAATCACCACGCTGAACCGCAGCCGTATCGCTCGCAGAGAGCTCGGCTCAGATCGCTGCTATCTGAGAGTGAAAGTCACGAGTGTTGTAGCCGCTCGAGTTAGAACGCTACAGCGCCGTTTGAATTCAACCACTCAAGTGAAGTTCAGCAATGTAGCCACAGTCGCCAACGCTCTCTAGGGAGCGCGAAAATTCGAATTGCTGTCAGTTACGGCACTATAGCCACAGTCGCCAACGCTCTCCAGGGAGCGCGAAATTCGAATTGCTGTCAGTTATGGCGCTGTAGCCACAGCCGCCAAACGCTCGCAGAGAGCGCGAAAATACAAACTGCCTTCACGAAGGCTGGAGTCACTGAGCGAGTTTAGGGCGCTGTAGCCACAGCCGCCAACGCTCATGGTTAGCGTTAAACCAGGGCCACGAACACCCAGAGAGACAGACCAGTCTGCTAAGAGACTGAGGGATCCAGAATGAATGTCAATCCGGCATTCCCACCATTCAAGCCCGATGAGGAAAAATGGGATTCGTATAAGAATCGCTTCAACCATTTTATCGATGCCATCGGTTTGGCTGATGCTGCAGAGCATAGGAAGAAATCCTACTTCCTCAGCTACTGTGGGGCTGCAGTCTTCGACACCGCCACAGCACTTTTCGCACCATGAGAGATCAGGAACATCCCGTGGACTGAGCTGCTGGAAACACTTTCCAACCACTACTCACCGAAACCGTCCCAGATCGCTAGACGTTTCACGTTTAGAATGAGGAAGCAAGCCGAGGGGGAATCCATCAACCAATACATGGCTGCCCTGAGGACAGCAGCTCTACATTGTGAGTTTAAGAACTATTTGGACGATATGCTGCTCGACCAACTCGTCTGTGGGGTAAGAGATCTAAGGCTCCAAAGACGTTTGCTGGCCAGAAAAGATTTAAATCTCTCCCAGGCCGTTGAGGAAGCCTTAGCTGCTGAACTCTCAGCCCAATCAGCAGCTGAGATCCAGGGCACCGCACCCACGCCTACCAACAAAACCGAGTTACAAGCCTTCCTGGGGTTATTGAATTTCTACGCTTCGTTCCTCCCACACAAAGCCTCAGTCGCTGAACCGCTGCACAGACTCTTAGATAAAAACACACCATGGCACTGGGGACCCAAAGAAAACCATGCATTTAAGGCAGTCAAATCTCTACTCACCTCTGAGGCTGTCTTAATCCAATTTGACCAACGCCTTCCCTTGGTCCTAGCCGCAGACGCATCCCCTTTTGGGATAGGAGCTGTCTTAAGCCACAGACTCCCCAATGGCTCCGAGGCACCAATTGCTTTCTTTTCAAGAACTTTCTCAGCGACTGAACGTAATTACAGCCAAATAGATAAAGAGGCCCTAGCTGCAGTAGCAGCAGTCAAAAAATTTCACGAATTCCTATTCGGGCACCATTTCGAACTCATTACCGATCACAAGCCGCTTCTAGGACTGTTATCAGGGGACAAGCAAACTCCACAGGTATTGTCACCCAGGATGACTAGATGGACCTTGTTCCTGGCGGCTTACTCGTACAAACTGGTCTATCGTCCCGGAAAGAATCTGAGCCACGCAGATGCCCTCAGCCGCTGTCCCTTGCCGGCCCCAGTCGAGGACCCAGCTCCTGTGCATGCTATTTTCGAGGTCAACGAACTCAAGCTGCCAGTGACTGCAGACGACATCGCGGCACATTCAAAAAAGGACAAAACAATCGCCCAGGTTCTGGACTGGGTAGGGAGGGGGTGGCCGGAAACTAACTATTCAGTTGATTTCACCCCATTTAAAACTCGCCAGCAGGAGCTTTCTAAGTTGCAAGGATGCCTGTTGTGGGGTACCAGAGTCGTCATCCCAACCACCCTTCGCATACCCATCCTGAAGGTGCTGCACGAGGGCCATCTGGGCATCGTACGGATGAAGGCGTTGGCTCGCAGTTACGTCTGGTGGCCCGGGATCAGATCGCCAAGTGGGTAAGCGCATGTCGACCCTGTCAGGAATCTAGGGCAGCCCCGCCAGCCACCACACCCACCAAGTGGGAAAGTGCCAACGCCCCATGGTCACGGCTTCACATCGACCTGGCCGGGCCAATGCATGGCAAGACTTTCTTGGTGGTCATGGACTCGTATTCTAAGTGGATAGATGTGGCCTTACTTCCCACGACCACCACCCAGGCAGTTGCTAAAGCCCTGACTCGTTTTTTCGTGACTCACGGACTTCCTGACACACTGGTCTCCGACAATGGCCCCCAGTTCACTTCGAGTGAATTTAGCAGGTATGTCACCAATCTGGGCATCAGACACGTCCTCACGGCCCCCTTTCACCCTGCTAGCAACGGGTTGGCAGAGAGAGCAGTCAGATCGGCTAAGGAGGCACTGGCCAGGTTCGGCCAAGAAGACTGGCATTCTAAACTGTCTCGTTTCCTCCTAAGCCAGCATACTACACCTTGCACAACTATGAACAAGTCCCCGGCCGAACTGTTAATGGGGAGACGCCTGAGGACTACCTTAGACAGGCTACACCCCCACTACTGCCCAGACACCCCTTTGGGGTCTGACAGTCTGGTCAGAGATTTTGCATTACAGGACCTAGTCTTTGCTAGGAACTACGCGGGGGATCCTCTGTGGGTGCCGGGGAAGGTCGTGGCTGTCACAGGTCCGAGATCCTATCGGGTCCAGCTGGAAGACGGTCACGTGTGGCGGAGGCACCTGGACCAACTGAGGAGGCGACGGAGCGGTCTGACCAGCTCAGAGCCATTTCCACCGGACAGTTTTCAAGTTCCCCACCGGAGTCCAGTCGAGAGTTTCCCAAGGGACCAGCCATTCCCAACAGAGCAGAGGGAGCCGGCAGTAGACCGGGACTGCCAGCTTGAGACTCCACCACTACCACCCAGCGAGGTCACCAGCCATTCGGGCAGAGACTGTTCTCCAAGCCAGCCCGAAGGCAGGGACTTTCCCCGGGTCCAAGATCCGGCGCCGAGTCAAGCTCGCTCCCCAACGTCCTCTGACCAGGGCTCCACGGACTCGTTGCCACCCAGTGGCTCTCCTGAGCTACGACGCTCCGGTCGCCAACACAGACCACCGGCGTATCTCAAGGACTATGCATGTTCCCATCTAGGGGGAAGGGGTGTTATGTCTTTGGGACTGGTTGGTGTTCCCAACCAGGTCCATTCTTTGAGCGGGAGCACCAGCAGCTCCCATTGGTTGGCTCCGTTTGACAGTCGGCTATAAAAGCCGGCTGTCGGGCTGAGCCAGTTGTTGTTCGCTGGCAAGTCTGCTTGTTAGCTAGCAGACGCGACAACCCTTTATTCTTTGAATAAAGCCTGTTACTTGTATGCTCTGGTCTAAGCCTCTCATTTCGCTCGATTCACAACATGTTCCCTCTTTTTTTTTACATTTCCAACATATGGAACTCATTTTAGAGTACATTTTCGTTAATCTCGAAGGGGGTAAGTGCCACCTATAGAACATTTTATATGAATTTTCTTTGTATGTTACTGATTTTGTTAATTTGAGGTTTCTATTCCATACAGTCTCCCACTCTGATAACTTTATGTTATGACCAATATTTTGACCCCATGAGATTAGGCATCCTTTCACTACTTCTTCTAATTCTACTTCTAGGAGATACTTGTAAATTTTGGTAATATTTTTTTTATCTGGGCCTAATAAAATTTTGTCTAATTGTTGAGGTTTCAAGTATATTCCATACTCCTTTACATCCTTTTTATATCGACTTTGTATTTGAAGATAAGCCCACCAGTCTACTTGTAGCCCTTGTTCTTGGAGCTCCTGTATTGTTTTTAAATTTTCATTTGTATCCAATAAGTCTTTATATTTTAACATTTTGTTCAGGTCTAATTATTTGGGTGGATCGTCACTTCCATTGTAGTTAGCCAAATTGGGATTTTTATATAGTGCTTCTTTTTAAGCTTGATCCAATTGTATATCAATGAATCTCTAATCAGATGTCTGTGGAAATATTTTTGCTTAGTAGGTCCTATGTCCCCCAAAAAAGGCATGCCATCCCCTTTGAAGGTCATGACCTTCTATAGCTAATATTCTTTTGTTCTTTAAATTAATCCAATCTTTTAGCCAAACTAATGTTGCTGCACTATAATATATTTCCCAATTTGGCAATCCAAAGCCTCCTCTGCTCTTCATATCTTGTAGTAATTTCATTTTTATTCTGGGCTTTTTACCCTGCCAGATAAATTTTGCTGTCATTCTATTAAGATTATCGAAAAAGGTCTTTTCTAATTTAACTGGAATAGTTTGAAATAAATAAAGAAATTTTGGTAATATAGACATTTTTGTGGCTGTTATTCTTCCTAATAATGACAGTGCACTTCACCATGAGCCAAACTCCTAAATACTTCACTTTTTTTGCTATCTGCATCCCTAGTTTATGTTCTAGTTCTTCATTTTAACTCTTGGTGAGGTTTTTGGCTATTATTTTCATCTTTTCCTTATTAATTCTAAGCCCTGCTACCATTCCAAATCCTTCTATTTTATGAATTAGTATACTACCTGTTTCAATTGGATCTTCTATAATAAATGCCATATTGTCTGTGAAGGCTTGCACTTTATATTTTTCTTTTTTAGTAATCAATCCTTTTATCTCCTGGTTCTGTCTGATTTGAGTCAACAGTACTTCTGCTGATAGTATATATAATAATGGGGTTAGTGGTACACAGCCTAGTTTCTAACAGGTCTTGGACCAGTACCAGTTTGCAGCTTACATGGGTGATTTACGCAGTAAATTATAGTTTAGCTATGCATTGATATGTTATACAAACTAGGATGGGCTTTGATGAAGCAGGATTGAAAGAATATTGATGATTTTGAAATTTGGTGTTGGAGAAAACTCCTAAGAATGCCAGACAACCAAGAACACAAAGAAATATTGTATCAACAAATCAACCTACAGTTCGTATTCAAGGCACAAATGACCAGACTCAAATTATCTTACTTTGGATATATTATGTGAACAACTAGTTCTCTGAATAAGCCTCTAGCACTGGGAAAAGTAGAAGGAAGGAGAAAAGGGTGATCAAAAGCTTGGTGGACTCAGTTATAAGGTGTTGAGTTCATTACTGGAAAAAAGGATGTAAAATTCATGTTGAGGACAGATCATCCTGGGGAAAATCTATTTGGCCACTAAGAGTGAACAGTGACCTGATGTTATATAATCAATCAATCAATAAATCAACGAACCTAAGAGAAGTGCTTTAATTTGTAAAGCTTCCTCATCATTTCAAGCTCTCTCACCAAGTGCAGTAATATTGTCAATATGATGTTTTCCCATACCAATCAAACTGTACATCAACAGTATGGTAATTCAAATGCAGACTTGTCAGTTTTATTTGGTCCTCACTGCTAGTTCAGACTGAGAATTGCCTGCCTTTAAGGGTCAAGGGGACAACTTCAAACATGTTAATAATGTTTATAATAATTTTTTTAATTTGGGAGGAGAATAATTTATAATGTAGTTGTATCAAGCCAATTTCAGTCTAATCAACCTAGTCTAATCAATTTAACATGCCAAGAGCAACTGAACTGTTGTAAAAATATGCATGAAAAGCAACAACAGCTGTGGAGTCAAAATCAGAATCCTTTATTTTATTTTTGACATATTTTGGTATAAACTCCTCTCAAGGGAAGTTATCTTTACAATTAATTCAATGCCTACACAAGATCCACTTCAAAAGTACTGGCTGGATGCCACTACAGACTACAACCTATCATCTCTCTACTGTCCCCAGAACAGTTAGTCAAGGAAATGATTTGAGAAATAGGAATAGAAATCTGCAACACCAAGGATTTTCCCCATAGTTACCAAAAATAAACCTTTGTACTCACTAAATCCAACTCTTAATGCAGCTATCATATGTCTCACTTATAGCTGTTCAAACTCTGCTTAAATGTAAATACCTTTATCAGAGAAGAATACAGGTAGTTCTCGACTTACAACAATTCATTTAGTGACCATTCAAAGTTACAACAGCACTGAAATATGTGACTTATGACTCTTTTTCACAGTTGCAATCTTTGCAGCATCCCCATGATCATGTGATCAAAATTCAGATGCTTGACAACTAGTTCATTCTTATGACCATTGCTGTGTCCTAAGGTCATGTGATCACCTTTTGCGACTTCACAAGCAAAGTCAGTGGGGAAGTCAGGCTCACTTAACAACTGCATTACTAACTTATCTACTTCAGTGATTCAATTAACATCTGTGGCAAGAAAAGTCATAAAATGGGCAAAACTCACTTAACAAATGTCTCACTTAACAACATAAATTTTGGGCTCAATGGTGGTCATAAACTGAGGACTAGGTACACCAAATCCTGCTTTATAACTGACTCCACTAGGATGTTGATCATATGTTCATTGAGATGGAAAAAATCATTTATCTCTATTTTTTTTCTTGTCAGAATATTTTCTTGTCTTAATGATATAGGCCATTCTTCCTAACTTTGTGCAATGGGATTGAGAGAAAAAAACTCATAAGTTACTTTTACAATGGAATTTTTATGTGGCTAGACTAGAAGATTTGTCTGCTCTTTCTGATGCTTTTCTGTTAGCGTCCTCTTTTTCTCTCTTTCTGCATAAAATCCCCACCCTATAACCTAAAAGGTGTTCAGTCACAAGTACGTGATTCATTGTTATAATCTTCTTGGAGAACGGGAAGATCTGCCTGGGCTAAGCAACAAGTAAGTAAGATAAAGGATATCCTCCCAAGGGAAAGCCCAGCAGCCAACAGCAAAACCAAGACACAGAAACACAGAAAACAATGTCATGCTTACCCTCAAGCTTGTAGTTTAGAATATAGAGAATAAGTGGGGAGGGCTTATTGTGTGGGGAGGGCTTCTTAGGTATGGAATGTTATGTGCAGGGGTATAAAATGTATTGTTTGAATATTCTTCTTGTACCCAACCCACTTTGGAAGGGACTTGAAGGCCCGTTTGCAAATGCTTATTTTCTTTAATAAACCTTTGAATTGTGAACCAGACCTGTTTGTGTTGTGAGTATTGAATAATTCGGGTGTTACATCTCACAGGTTCTATTTAAATAAATTGCTAGGAAATCCTTTTTTGTATTTCTTATTATAGGTATACTTGACTCCATTTCTTGGGGCACTCATCATAATTGCATTAATGTTTCTTCAGTCCTATTTTGAGAGTATTACTGAGCCTCAGATGGACTTTGTCATCACTGATTAGTGCTAAGAATCACTATCATTTTACTTTCTCTGCAGTGTTCCAGTCTGACAACAGCACTGCTTTGGATCATTATGGGAGATATAAAATATGACTATATCCACCTACCACAGAGGCACAGAGGCACTGACTACACCAGTGAACTTTGCCAGGAGAAATAATACCACAAGACACATTGTGTATATTAAGTAAATGTGACAATCCCGGCCAAAGAGTTTAATAATTTTCCAATTAATTGGCAGATTTTCACAAACAGAAAAAAGTCCA